TAATGTATAATGTATAATGTATAATGTATAATGTATAATGTATAATGTATAATGTATAGTGTATAATGTACAGAGATATATCAATTAGACATATCAAAGAAAAAAGTTTTGATTTCTGTAGATACTTCTAAAACCATATTTTTGTAGAAATGAAGCACACAAATAAAAATAAAAATTTTACTGTAGAATAGTCAAGTTTATTAAAAGAATAAATGTGTTAGCTATCTAGCAAACTACTAGTGTACTGTAAAATGTATTGTTTTCGAAAATAAGTGTATCTTAAAAAAGTATTTTTTAAATCAACAATAAATTTCATAATCAAGATCTTTCAGGGCAGGCGGCGAAAAATCATGGAATAACTTTTAAAATACAAAATGAAGATTCACAAAGGTAGCAATTCATTTATTCCTACTTTTGTATTCATCATATCTATGAAACCTGCTGTTGTAGATCTTTGATATCTAAAACTATAAAATTAATGATCTCATAGTCAAAGTTTGAAATATCAAAGATTTTTACCATCAGTATGCAAAGATACTGCGTTAAAAAAATTAGATTTTGTCTTCGCTTTCTTATAAATTTTTTCATAAAAAAATTATTTTCTTAGTTTTATCTCGGTCCGAACGGGAACCTCCGTCGGAGAGTCTGTGTATGCCTCAACCATCCTCGCCATGGAGGACGAGAGGAGGAACTCCACCGACCTCAACGACCAGCAGTGGATCTTCAACAGGAAGAAGATTGGACTCTCCAGGAAGTCTAAGAAGACTTTAGGCAAGATTTTTTTTAATAAAACAAACACATTTTTTTCATTCAAACAGGTATCTTTCTATTTGCATTTTACCAATTTATCTATTTATCATTAATTCTCTTAAGTTTAAATATTAAGCTTAATCTTTATTTCCTGATTTATTGAATCTAATTTGTCCTCTTGTTCTTTTCCTTAAAGACTTGATGCAGTTTAAGAAAGTTTCCGCTGTTATTGTTGTTTTCAACTTTTAAATCAGTTTGGTAAACTTGGTAACAAAAAGGATTCAAGTGGGTTCAGTTTATCCTAACATTTAACATTATTTATGCAGACACCCTTACCAACATTTAACAATTTATCTAATATTTCTTTTCAATTGTAGAAAACATTGGGAAACTAGGAACGTTTTGTTGGAAACTTTAATCTTTTCAATTGTAGAAAACATTGGGGAACTAGGAACGTTTTGTTGGAAACTTTTATTTTAGGGATTTCTTGAAGAATTCATATCTCTAATATTCAATCGTAATTTCGAACAAAATTTTCTTAATTTAGAACAAAACATTCGTAATTTTGAACAAATATTTTCGTAATTTAGAAAAAAATGTTTGTAATTTCGATCAAAATGTTTGTAGTTTTAAAAAAAACGTTTGTAATTTCAAACAAATTGTTCCTAATTTCGAACAAAATGTTCTTAATTTTGAATAAAATGTACATAATTTCGAACCAAATGTTCTTTCTGAAAATACATGTTCCCTGTAACTCTTAACTTCTTTTCTTTACGAGATCATTTGAAATATTAGTCAGAGACTGAATTTAGGACAACAGACACAATTCAACATTCAGATAGTTATATTTAAAAAAATGTCTAATTCTTTATGGGTAACCCTGTAGAACACAAAAATAGATATTTTGTTGTACATAGATGCTAAGCTGGATAACATATATTTTGTTGTATATAGATGCTAAGCTGGATAATATATATTTTGTTGTATATAGATGCTAAGCTGGATAATATATATTTTGTTGTATATAGATGCTTAGCTGGATAATATATATTTTGTTGTATATAGATGCTAAGCTGGATAATATATATTTTGTTGTATATAGATGCTAAGCTGGATAATATATATTTTGTTGTACATAGATGCTAAGCTGGATAATATATATTTTGTTGTATATAGATGCTAAGCTGGATAATATATATTTTGTTGTATATAGATGCTAAGCTGGATAATATATATTTTGTTGTACATAGATGCTAAGCTGGATAATGAAAGATCGAAACTGTCCACTCTAGTTTTTATTCAAACACATTTTAACAGGTAATAAGTTGTATATTTGCTTATTTTATCGTAAAGGAATTAACCCTTCGCTACAAACTAATCTGCAGTTCCTAACTGTAAATCTTTGAAATTTGAAATTAAGTTGTTTGAATTCATAGTTTGAAATATGAACTAGGTTGCATAGATAAAAAAATTAGAAAATTTGAGTTTGTGGCAAGTTTTCTGTTCCTTTCTTTATTCCCTGCATATATAAAATGCTATGATGTGGGGGGGAGGGGGGGGAGTGCAGTGGTAAACCTTAAAAGTAAGCACTACTTGACCTTAAAAATGTCAAAAATAAATTAAATATGAAATCAAAGTTTGCAATAAATTTTTAACTCCCTTCTTTACACTTTATACTTAAATAGCATGAGCTGGAAAGGGGGTGGTGTAGGGGGGGAGCGGATGGTGATATTTGTTCTTTATTCATTTATTCTTTTCAACAAAAACCAATTCAGTTGATACATAATCTACAATAAATATCATTATATAATTTTTCCTTTAAAAGTATATTGTAAGCACAAACCGGGAAAATACAGAAAATTATAGTTCTGATATATTCACGGATAAAAAGTCTTATGTGATTTAAGAATCAAGAGTTTGAAAATTCATGTAAGCATTTTTTGAAAGTAAAAAATAAGAGTTTCTTGAATTCTGGAACTTGATTCCGTCTCTGTGGTTCAAATTGTATTCTGCTCACGTGGAACTAGGTTCGGTCTCTAGAATTATATTCCTCAAAGGATGGAATTAATTTCCCTATAGTTGTCCGTATAGTATGTCACTTTACATAAAAAATATTTTTTAAGAAACACATTTAATTAAGAGTTGAAACTTTCTGTGGGTTAAAGAGTGGTTTTAGGCACGATACACGATTAAGGTTCATTCAATTTATAAAATGTTAGTTAGAATAATAAGGCACATTTGTAAGAAAAAACTTTAAAATAATTAATTTTAAAATTATAAAATATTAGAATTTATATTGTCAGTGTAGGTTGATAAAGAACGCTTGTACAAAGAGAAAATGAACAAAGATTTAAAAATAGAAACCAAGAACTTGAAGTCCGGTGTCCGAATTTAATAAAATTGAGCCGCGTCTTAAATCCCCCAAAAACCGGTTTCAATTGAGCACCGGCTTAAATCTTGAAATATTTAATACAATTTTAGGTGGAACCAACCATATTTGAGCCGCGGCTTAAATTTAAACCGCGGCTCAAATTCTTTAAATTCGACCTCAGGAGAAACTTTTATAAATTAAGTATTTTACTTTCCAAATAAATTCAATCTTTTCCATCCTAAACATTAATTTCATTGAAAATATCGGCTGAAAGTTTCAAATTCAATATTCTATATTTTTATATAAAAGTTTGGGTAAAGCAGGAAATTTGCTGTAAAAGATGGCATTCTTTCTAGGTTTTTAATGTGAAAATATCTGAAGGATATAAATATAGATATACATTTATCATTAAAGTACATAATTTTACATAGATAAATTCTTTAAACTAAAACTTTAATGACGGGATTTGCCAAGCCAACATTTGTCGTCTTTAATTATTATTAAATTTTTATTGTATGATATAATTTTTAACTCATACAATTGGTGGTGTTTCGTCCAATAGATAGGGGGAAAAGTATTAACGACAACCAAAAATAAAGTAAGCCTTATACAGTAATCTAATTGGATGGTTAGGACCATATTTCTCAAAAGAAATTTGTCAATAAATCAATGCTAAATTCGATTATTTCGTTTTCATTATTATTTTGAATTTCTTATCTTCTTTGAATTTATTCGCAGATTTCTTCAAATTCTTCAAATGTCGTCTTTTCAATAATAATTCAAGAAAATCTGCGAAAATCTTTGTGTATAATGAGAAACCAGAATAATGAGAAAATAGAAACTAAAAATTTAACAATATTACTTAATTTCGATGATAAGATTAATTTTTATTTTCTCAAAATGTTCCTATACATTACGATTTACGTCTGTAGTTTATTAAAGAACTTTTTTTACATGTTATGATCGTCGTTATTTAATAATTTAAAAAAAATAATTCTGAAAACGTATCCACCCCCAAAGTAGGAGTTTTGAACGTCGAATTTGCGCTCAGGATTTACAGATCTTTAAAAAGTTTAATATGTCTCAAATGAATTCAAAAGAAGTTTTTCACAACACTGCATACTCAGTTCAACTACCTTACATAGCCGGTCTGTCCCTTTAATCTTATACGCAATTTACTTTAGTTTGCCGTGTGGTGTTGATTTGTTTCCAAACTTTCTTGAAGTCTTTAAAATTTTGTAAATTCAAATTGAATTTAAACATTTGAGAGGGTCCTTTGAGAAACCTGAAAAGATCAAAGGGAACTATATTGAAAAAGCATAAAAATAAAGTAGAATAAAATTGAATAACATTATAAAGGTTAGGATCAGTATGTAATAGAAATTTAACTTTTACTGAAACTTTAAAGGAATTAGTCGTAATCTATAAATCTATAAAGTTGTAATCTCTGTTCGTCTGTTTGTTTGTTTGTCCGATCATAACTCATGAACCCCTGTACCGATTTGCCTCAAATTTGGATTGGAGAACTGGGGTGAAACACACGAATGTTCTTAGTTTGGGTTTGAGATTCCAAGTTAAGAGGGTCTACTTTTATAAGGAAAAATAGCTAAAATCGTAATTTAAAACAAAGCGCGGGGAGACGGCTGGACTTACTATGACTACCCTGAGCAAAGCTCGGTTCTTGAGCTAACATTGAATAAAGTTGAGATTTAACTTAACTTAACTAAGAAACTCAAAACCAAGCTACGAACATTTCCATGGTTCTCCTGAGTTCCCCAATCAAAATTTGAGGCAAATCGGTCCAGGGTTTATGAGTTATAATTGGACAAACAAACAGAGATACTACTTTATATATATATATATAGATATAATAAATAGATTTTTTCTGTCCACAATTCGTCTCCGAAATAGATTTTTTCGGAATTTGTCTTTTCCTAGATGAGGTTTTCCGGAATTTCCGGAGTTTTTTTTTCAACTTTTTCATGTCACGAAATGCCCCTGAAGGAAATGACATGTGAGAGGTTTGTGCGGTAAAAGGTTATAAAGAATGAATGCTATTCATTCGCATGTTGAAAAGATAATCCTCTCCCGTGAATTATACGTGTTCACTGTTCATGTATAAATTAATCAAAGAAAAAGGAAAAGAGTTCAACAAGAATCGAAATTGCAAAAGTTTTGATTACTTTTCATAAGTTTATAAAGCCTGTGATTACAGGATGCAATGCAACCAATAAAATGCTAAAACAGGGGCGTATCCAGGAATTTTCCAGGGGGGGGCTTAACATTTTTAACTTTCAGACTAAATTGTGAATAACCCTTTGAAACTTTAGTTTTACTGAGTTTATGCCTCTCATACTAGACACAAAACCATCGAATACTTTTCAAGTGATCCTACATTCAGAGATGTCAATGCCCATCTTACAACGGTGACCGTAAACCTTTTTCTGATCAAGTACCAATTAAAAATATCAATGTTTATAATTTTGAAAACTCATTGTTTTCAACTGTGGGTACTTTACAAAAGTGACTTGCGCAGTTCTACTGCAGGAAAGCATTGAACACTTTAAAAACGTAGAAAAACGGCAAAATCTTTCACATTTTACTTTTAGAATTAAGGTTTCAAGTGTGCAGTTGTTCATCGTGCATTGCTATCGTTGCAGAAAGGGTCACTTGAACTAACCAGTCCCTTTAATAGATTCTAACCCAAATCACCCATTTGAAACGAAATGTTTAAATAGTTGTTTAATTCAGGAAGGAATGTGTTCACTACGTGAAAACTGATAATATTCACAAAAAACAAGATGAGGTAAGTCTCACATTGATGTTAAGATTGTTGATTATCATAATTTGCTCCGTATTATTGTATCACGAGATTTTATCAATAATTTCTAGGTTCCAAATTTTGACTATTTTAACATGCAGATATTATAGTTTGAAATATTAAAGGTTTTCGGTGCTTACTGCGGTAATTCGCAGCACACTGACCAAAGATTTAGTAAAATTTAGCGGAATTGATTTTGAGGCGTGAATCAATTCCTTAGATTTTAAACCCCAGTATTTGGGTTGGGCTCATCTCGTCATTCACAGTATTTCCAATTTTTTAATTACAAGGATATGAATGTAGAAAGTTCAGCAACCTCATCATGTAATTTCTTATGATCTTTCAGTTAAAAAGTTATGTCCCGATTCACAACAACCAATATATGCGAAGACCAAATTAATTTCTCTGATTCCAAATCTGGGAATGTTTAGTGTTTCTGTGGTCTGAAGAAATACGAGCATCCTCCTGATATTGAGCATAAATATATAGATCTCAAGAGCAGAGCTCCAAGGTAAATAAATATATAGATCTCAAGAGCAGAGCTCCAAGGTAAAAAAATATATAGATCTCAAAAGCAGAGCTCTAAGGTAAATATATATAGCTAAATTGCAGAGCTCCAAGGTAAATAAATATATAGATTTGAAGAGCAGAGTTCCAAGGTAAATAAATATGTAGATCTGAAGAGCAGAGCTCAAAGGTAAATGATCATTTAGATCTATAGAGCAGAGCTCCAAGGTAAGTAAATAATTATAAAGATATGAAGAGCAGAGCTCCAAGGTAAATAAATATGTAGATCTGAAGTACAGAGCTCAAAGGTAAATAATCATTTAGATCTATAGAGCATAGCTCCAAGGTAAGTAAATGATTATAAAGATATGAAGAGCAGAGCTCCAAGGTAAATAAATATATAGATACGAAGAGCAGAGCTCTAACTTTCTTTAGCCTATGTAAACCCCGGGCTACCCGCGAGTTTACTAAAACAAATCAGCCCATTCGTTCCAGCCGTTTGGCCGGCTGTAGGGAACATATATACGAATGTCTTGTTTTATTATATAGATATTTTATACTTCTAGAGAGAGTATTATAGAGGAGGAGGATGAAGAAGATGAAGATGAAAAGGACCAGGATGAGGATGAGGATGAGGATGAGGATGAGGAACAAAGTAGATCTGGAAGTACGTCCAGTCTAGAACAGTTGCTTAGCTCCATGGACAAGAAGATTACGCGGCGAGGGTCCAAGGTCGGAGTTGACAAAGAGAAAGGTTGGTTCGATATTAAAACATTTATGACGTTGGATTTATATTTTCAATATCTGCGCGCTAAAGTCAAATACGAACTTTTATATGAAAAGTCTGAGTGAAAAATATTGTTTCAAATTATTCTTAATGAAACATCAGAAAGAAATTGGTTGAAAATTAGATATTATAAAGATATAACAAATATTATGAAATTTAACTATATACGAATGCGTCGAAAAATAATCGATGACTTTAGGTTGCAATATCTGAATGATTTGTTTGAACTAAGTTTGATTATTTTACGGTACGAGTCGTATATTGCAACTTTCTGAATTTGTATGGAAGCTACGTTTTTCAGTATAAGTCGTTTTTAACAATTTTCTCCTTATAGACGCAACAGATAGAAATAAAATTAGTAGCGATCAAAAGCAATTATTTCCTATACCCCCTTTTATTTTTCGGTAACACTCCCTTTAAAAGTACGCTTAAAGTCCCTTTAACATTCCTTTTTTATAGAGAAGAAAAGAGATGGGAGTGGAATTTATCTAAAAGTAGAAACAAAGAAGCATGGAGCAAAAGAGATGAACAGAAAGGAGAAAGACGAGAAAAGAAAAGAAAAGGAAGTTATTGTACGCTGGAAACAGAATACGGCAATCAAAGGAAATTATTTAGAAAAATTAAAAAGTACAACAAGAAAAATCAGAATTTGAAATGTTTTCAACAAACACAATTTTATTTACATATTTTATTGTTTATTCTAAATTTGTTTTGTTATTTAGAGTTTCCAACAAATGCATTTGGAGTCATTCATTTCGAGGGATCAAACTCAAAACCTTCTTCTTATATCAGGCTTGCGGATAATACAACAATGCAGAGGTCTAGTTTTAACTATTTTATAAAACATTAAAAACATTTTTAATTGTGTTAATGGTATTTTTAGTGTTATGGAATTGATGAAAGAGCATTGGGATATGATGAAACCACGCCCCCATCTAGCGCTGAGTATTGTGGGTGGAGCTAAAAATTTTAAAATGGACGGACGTTTAAAGGAAACTTTCAAGAGAGGACTTATTTCTGCTGCAAGGTTCATATTTATTTGTTTAATATGGTAATACCATACTTAGATATTCATTCTCCTGAGCTGGGAATTCTTGTATTGTGGATATCGAGATCAATGCAATATCTCGATCTTTAGTTTAATCTTTATTTGATATCCCTTGAAATTGAAAATGCAACCAGAAGCCAGGGAATTTTGCGCTCAACCAATGAGGGCAAAATATCTATAATCAAGAGATAAAGCAGATTCTGAGTCCCAACTGTGGATATCAAAATCAAGCGATCGTAATTTTGGGATGGGTATCTAACACAAAAGTTCCCAGCTCTGTCTATCCTTGTGTCTATTTGGATATTCATTCTTCTGTCTATATTACATATTTACATTTTCTTGGCTACATTACACCTTGATGATATTCATTATCTTTTCTTCATCAACCTAAACCTGGATACGAAGTCTCTTGTCTAGATCAACACATGCCTGGGTTCTCAGTGGTGGAACTAATACTGGAGCAATGAAACTTGTTGGAGAAGCAGTAACAGAAGGACAGTTTCTCGTTCCTCAGGGTGCAGGTAGGTTAAAATTATATAGAAATTAGGTAGATAGGTTAAATGTACACAGAGATTTGGTAGGTTCAAGGTATAAAGAGATTAGGTAGGTTCAAGGTACCTAGAGATTAGTATAGTAGCTTCAAGGTATCTTATTTAAGTTCAAGGTATCTAGAGATTAGGTAGGTTCAAGGTATCTTAAGATTAGTATAGTAGGTTCAAGGTATCTTATTTAAGTTCAAGGTACCTATAGATTAGGCAGGTTCAAGGTATCTTAAAATTAGTATAGTAGGTTCAAGGTACTTATAGATTAGGTAGGTTCAAGGTATCAAGAGATTAGTATAAAAGGTTGAAGGTACCTATAGATTAGGTAGGTTCAAGGTATCACGAGATTAGTATAAAAGGTTGAAGGTACCTATAAATTAGGTAGGTTCAAGGTATCAAGAGATTATTAAAGTAGGTTTTAGGTACCTATAGATTAGGTAGGTTCAAGGTATCTTTAGATTAGTTAAGTAGGTTCAAGGTATCTAGAGATTTTGTAGGGTCAAGGTATGAGGCGAAAATGAGATTTTTGGAGAGGGATACGCCCCCATTCCCCCACCCAGTTTAGTTATGCCAGTTTAGCTTAATATTAAAGTTTCTAGGTTTGACGATGGGGTTGAAAGCTCTGGGTATTGCCTCCTGGGGATATATTGCTAATAAAGAGACCCTGATAAATAAGAAAGATTCTGAGATGAACCGAGCTCAGTATAATTCCAACCTGGAGATAAAATCTGGATCCAAACCTCCTTTGAGTCCGGATCATACACACTTTCTCCTGGTAGATGATGGATATAGAAACAGGTTGGCAAATAAAGAATAAATAAAAAAAATTTGATAAATTATATTATCCGGGTATGAAGGAGGGGGTGTTGGAGGTGGGATACATGAGTTTATCTCTAGGTTTGAGTTAAACCTAGTTAAGTATTATCTAGGTATGTAGGAGGAGAAGGTGGAGGTGGGATACAGGAGTTTATCACAAGGTTTGAAAAAAATCTAATGGAACCAGCTCCTAAGGGTTTAGGAGTCCCTGTTATTACTCTGATGGTGGAGGGAGGGTCGGATGCTTTAAATGAGGTAAAGCATTATTTTTGGGAATCTTGATCCGATTTTAATTGGATGAAAAAAAATCCAAATGTTTAAAACCTTTAAGAGGATCCATCAATGGAAACTGTTGACGTTAAGTAAAAAATATAAATTTTGTATCGACAGAATAAGAATAAGCTTCTTAATAATATTGTAAAAAATGTTAAACCTGAGATGGAATTTAAAGAATTTGAGCCGCGGTTTAAATCTGCCAAAACCCGGTTTAAATTAAGCGCCGGCTTAAATCTTGAAACATTTGATACAATTTTAAGTGGAACTAACCATATTTAAACCGCGGCTTAAATTTAAACCGCCGCTCAAATTCTTTAAATTCGGCCATTGATCTTTTAAACTGTCCTAATAATAAAAAACAAACAAGTTTTACTTTTTATTGGAAAGAAAATCCATCAAAGGAACTAAAAGACTAAGTTTTGCCACAAACTCAAAATTTCTTAGCCCTAATATCTTTATAATATATTGCTATAAACCTGTCATGTTTCAAACTTAGATAATTTGATCTAACAGTGTCCGAATTTAATGAATTTGAGCCGCGTCTTAAATCCGCCAAAAACCGGTTTCAATTGAGCGCCGGGTTAAGTCTTGAAACATTGAGTACAATTTTAAGTGAAACCAACCATATTTGAGCCGCGGCTTAAATTTAAGCCGCCGCTCAAATTCTTTAAATTCGGCCTCAGAATTCATAGTCTGAAATATCAAAGGTCTATTACATTGATTAGCGAAGATACAGGGTGTCCCAAAAACATGGGAATTCAGTGACGAATTCGATATCGTCTTTGTTAAGAATTAGCAATGTAATACCTAATTTCAAAAGCCATGATATTATTATGTCTGCTAGAGTTTATTTTATGAAAAGGGTAAATGACTGTAAAGATGTGTCTATAATATCTTTGCAAGATGAACAGTGAAGACGGACAAGTTTACTCTGTTTGTATACTGCAATTTTCTTGTTTTACTAAGTACAACCGTATGCAGTCAAAACATAAACAAACAAAATGTGAACATGGCAGACGAAACTCTTACAGATTAAAGCTTTCTCAGTAGGTATCACTATACTAGATCAAAGAATTATCTAAAAAGACGATATCGAATTCGTCACTGAATTCCCATGTTTATTGGGACACCTTGTATAAGAATTAGAAAATCAGAGTTTGTGGCAAAATTATGTGCAGTTGGCTTAAATTTTAATCAAACTTTTCTAAATCTTGGAGTAGAGTTTTGGATGTTTGGACAATAGTGCTTATTCTTTTTTATCTGAAATAGATAATTTTCACTTTCCTTTCTATTTGAAGGTTCGGGATAATCTAACTTGTGGTCAACCTCTTGTCATTATAGACGGGTCTGGTAGAAGCGCTGATATACTAGCTTATGCTTACAAGAATGCTGTCATGAATAAGGTAGCGCTGCTGACATGCAACTTATGCTTACAAGAATGCTGTCATGAATAAGGTAGAACTGCTGACATACTAGCTTATGCTTACAAGAATGCTGTCATGAATAAGGTAGAAGCGCTGACATACTAGCTTATGCTTACAAGAATGCTGTCATGAATGAGGTATAACTGCTGACATTCTAGCTTATGCTTACAAGAATGCTGTCATGAATAAGGTTGAACTGGTGACATACTAACTTATGCTTACAAGAATGCTGTCATGAATAAGGTAACGCTGCTGACATGCTAGCTTATGCTTACAAGAATGCTGTCATGAATAAGGTAACGCTGCTGACATGCAACTTATGCTTACAAGAATGCTGTCATGAATAAGGTATAACTGCAGACATACTAGCTTATGCTTACAAGAATGCTGTCATGAATAAGGTAGAACTGCTGACATAATAGCTTATGCTTACAAGAATGCTGTCATGAAGAAGGCATAGCTGCTGAAAAACTAGCGAATGCTAAAAAAATGCTGTCATGAAAAAGCTATTTCTGCAGACATTCTAGCTTATGCTTACCAGAATGCTTTCATGAATAAGGTAACGCTGCTGACATACTAACTAATGCTAACAAGAATGCTGTCATGAATAAGGTATTCATGCTGACATACTAGCTTATGCTTAAAAGATTGCTGTCACGAAAAAGGTATATCCGCTGACATACTAGCTTATGCTTACAACGATGCTGTCAGGAACATAGTTCTAAGTTTTTTTTGATTTTGGAGTCTAAAACTTTAATAAAAATAAATTGAACGAAACTGATTTTTTATTTCTGGAAACTATTTACTTGCGTAAATTCAAATCAAAGAACGGTTTCCAACCTGCACCATTATTATGTTTAATTATGTCATACATCCCGAAAATTAACTAGGACTTTCTTCTAGAAAATTTACGCTTAAAATTACCGATATTTTCAACAACTTTTCTGATACATTTTTTAATAATATATGTTGAAAATTAGGTAACTGGAACCTATACCATTAAACGTGGACATATAAAACACCTGGAGGATATGCTTGAAGAAGCATTTGCAGATAGACTTTCGGGACCCACCGGCAAAATCAGGTAGACTTTCGGGACCCACCGGCAAAATCAGGAAAATAAATATTTAAAATAGACTTTCGGGACCCACCGGCAAAATCAGGAAAATAAATATTTAAAATGACATAAAAAGGGGAAAAACTAAAGAAAGGTGGTCAACAAGTGGTTAGGGGAGTTGTAAATTAAATAAATGAATCTGATCATCATTCAAAAGGTACATAAAATATCTGTGGTCACCAAGGATATTAAGTATCTGTTGGTCACCAAGGATATAAAGTATATGTTGGTCAGTAGGGATATAAAGTATCTGTTGGTCACCAGGGATATAAAGTATCAGTTGGTCACCAGGGATATAAAGTATATGTTGGTCACCAGGGATATAAAGTATCAGTTGGTCACCAGGGATATAAAGTATCTGTTGGTGACCAGGGATATAATGTATCTGTTGGTCACCAAGGATATAAAGTATATGTTGGTCACCAGGGATATAAAGTATATGTTGGTCACCAGCGATATAAAGTATCTGTTGGTCACCAAGGATATAAAGTATATGTTGGTCACCAGGGATATAAAGTATCTGTTGGTCATCAGGGATATAAAGTATATATTGGTTACCAAGGATATAATGTATATGTTGGTCACCAGGTATATAAAGTATCTGTTGGTCACCAGGGATATAAAGTATATGTTGGACACCAGGGATATAAAGTATATGTTGGTCACCAGGGATATAAAGTATATGTTGGTCACCAAGGATATAAAGTATATGTTGGTCACCAGGGATATAAAGTATCAGTTGGTCACCATAGGGATATAAAGTATATGTTGGTCACTAGGGATATAAAATATCTGTTGGTCACCAAGGATATAAAGTATATGTTGGTCACCAGGGATATAAAATATGTGTTGGTCACCTTTAATTGAATATTTGTTGGTCACTTTTGTTTGAATATTTGTTTAAACAGGAAGAAAACGTTCATGAGCTGGATCATGGAGTGTCTAAGGAATATACTTTTATCAATATATTTTGAAATCTGAAATGAATAAAATAACAAGTTTAATATCTTTAAATTTGCATTTATGTAAACAAAAATTAACTCAAAATAAAATTTGTTTTTGTTCAGTTACATATTGTAATTTAGTTTGTCAAAGAAGAAATATTTATTAAACAAAAATTAGTTTCTGGGGATTACGGAATTAAGTATAGCTTTACAACAAACTCAAATGTCGATATCTTTACAACTTAATGGTGTAAACCTTTGATTATTTAATTTGACATAGTTTGAAATAATTAATGACTATGGCATTGGTTTCCAGAGATATGTGGATTAGAAAATGTCGCAAAAATTTAATTTTTTTGGAAATGAATGAATGGATGATATGTTTGATCTTTGTAAAGTGTAAACACTTCTTTTGTATAAAAAAGTCAATTCAAGAAAAAAAAATTCTTACATTTTGTAATTTTATTTTGATAAATAAGAAATATTCATTAAACAAAGAAAAGGGAATTCAGTCTTTTCCACAAACAAAAATTTTCTAATCCCTATAACTTTGCAACTTGGTTGTGTAAGGATTTGCAAATCAGAGTTGGTGAAAAGACTCACTTTCTTTTCTTCATATTTCAACTCCAGTACAATTTCATAATCAAGAATATTTCAAGAAACTAGTCCGGTTCAAAATTATTTTTTTAAAAAAAACATCTTAAATTACATACAGTTGCACCCATAAAACTGTGGAATAAGAAGACGACATTTAAGCAATCTTATGTGCATTTAAAGAGCAAATAGTGTTTACAGCGGCTTGAAAAGCATCTTCTCAAGTGAACTGGTTTGTGTACACTACACAACTGCTGTGTTTTGGACTATTCAACAGTCGTCTTCCAATTTCACAGTTTTATGATGCGTTCAAAGATCAAGGTTTAAATCTATATGTTGATATAATTGTATCCTGGTTTACAGTTACAGTGACCTCATTACTACATTTGATATCCAGAGAGAAGAGAACCTGGATACAAAGATACTCTCAGCTTTACTCAAGGGTAACCTGGATACAGTTCATCAACTATACCTAGGTAGGATAATTACAGGTCTCAACAAGAAAGAAAAACCAGAAAATTCTATATGATTGATTACCTTCTATATTATATTCCTCCTTATAACTACCGTTAACAGTAGACTGAATTTGTAACCAAAAATATATGTTGGTTCCAGGTTCCTGGTTCATCTTCCATGTTTTTTGAAATGTCCAAAGAGGAAATTAATTTAAATAGAAAAGGAAATGAAATGAAAATTTGGTAGTTTATCTTAAAAACTTATTTATTAGTTAATTTCTAACAAGATTCTGAGAGTAAGATATATGTGTACGATCTGATTACTCGCCTCAAATTATAATTTTCCAATCTTTCCACTTTTGCTGTCGAATACATGGTATAGGATAATACTGCAAATAGGTCAAGTTTTAAATAGAAAAATGATGTGTGCATGCCATCAAGATATATAGAGGGATAGGAAAATGATGTGCATGCCATCAAGATATATAGAGGGATAGAAAAATGATGTGTGCATGCCATCAAGATATATAGAGGGATAGGAAAATGATGTGCATGCCATCAAGATATATAGAGGGATAGAAAAATGATGTGCATGCCATCAAGATATATAGAGGGATAGGAAAATTGGAGACATGTGATCAATTCTTTCTACATTTTTCATTAATGTGTCTAAATTTATTTTAAAACTCATCAACAATTTTGTTCTCAAGCTATGGTCTGGAACAGAGTGGATATTGCAGAAAATAAAATTTTTAAAAACCGAACATTTCAGTAAGTATATTTCTATTTCTTTTTAATCGTTGAATTTTTAAAACTTATAAACAATTAAAGGGAGTGTTCGCGAAAAATGAAAGGGGGTATAGGCCGCCAGATGTCTCTACTCTCGATGCTTTGAATGATTACACGTGGCAGAGGCACCTAGCGGAAAAAGTCGTTTTAAGTGCATTATATATAAAACAAATAACAAATATTATGAAATATTAACTATATACGAATGCGTCGAAAAATAATCGATAACTTTAGTAGTAGTAATCTAATCTCATTTTAATTAAATATCATGATTTCAATAAAAAATATCATAACTTGAAATGGACCTAATTTCATCATTTTCAGATTTGTTGAGGAGAATTTAGACGATGTTTTTACCCAAGCTCTTCTCATGGATAGGGTTGGATTTATAGAAGTTCTAATCCTAAATGGGTTCTCGTTGTACAGGTTTCTCACCGTTAAAAAACTCAGGTTAGAAACTATATTTGAGACTGTTGTGCACTTTATCTCTCATGGTCACATCATAGGAAATTCCATTATAGACATGCTTTACATTAATCCTTGTCCTAATAAGCTGTATATTATATCACGGTTATATTAAGGTTTCATTGGTTCCCGAATTTTCTCCAAAAAAAATAGTATATTTCTAGAAAAAAGTTTTAATTTAAATGAAAACAAAATTGAAATGAATTTCATTCTATATTTCTGATTTGTAAAATAAAGATTATTATATCTAGACCATTGTAAGACAAATACACCAACATTTCATAATTATAATCTAAAAAGGCTCGAACCATCTCGATAAAGAGAAGATTTCTTTCTAAAAACTTGATAGCACTGTTAATCAAAATAATAGTTCTTGAATTTTGGTCAATTAACTTGTTTTAAATATCCTCATCGAAATATTGAAAAGTCAAAGTGTCAGACTTACACAATATTTTTTCACATAAATCCTGAAACGAATGAAATATTATTTTTGTATAATTTAAGATAAATAATGCTTTTAATACCACAAAAGAAAGATTAATACTATTCAGTTCTTTTCCATTGTATTTTGAGAAAATATGGTGTTCACAGAATTTTACAATTGTAAACTCAACATTATGCACATAATTCTCAAACTCAATTCTCAAATTCTCAAAACAAATTTTGTAAAGTAAATAGTACAAAATATATATGCAACACTAATTAAAATTTTAAATAAAATTACAACTTTCAAAACTATTTTTAATTAGTTTTAGAAACTATATTTGTTCTGAAATGAAAAAATATTCTAAAACTAGCAATGATGGTACGTTATGTTGCTTAATTTTCCTACTGCGGGCGATAAATTAATCTTAAACCCCGGCCCCAGCAGGGAAGATAATATTTATCAATCCTAGAATTCTGTACAATGAGGGAGCTGCGCAGCACAAGTATCTCATCTCTCAGATCGAGAAGTTTGTCGGCAACTGTCCCTACATCCATCTGAGGTAAAAATATTTCAAAATATATAATTCTTTATCAAATATACTGTAAGCATAATTTTCCCATCCTGTAAAGATTTACAACGATAAAATAGCTTTGTCTGATCAAGCATGTAGCAGATATCAATGTTTATAATTTGAAAAAATAATATTTTTAATTGTGGTTTCTTTTCAAAACTGACTTGCACATCTTTACTGCAGGACAACTAATAGTAATTATCAGAATTAAACACTTTTAAACACTGAAAAACGACAAAATATTCCACGTTATTGACCAGATAAAGAATTTAAGGGGTCACTTGAAATACCACGTACAGTCCCTTGATTTAATTTTTTTTTATTATTTTAGAACTATTCATAAATATCTGATTTATGTAATGAAAGCTCATCACCATCCCCAGTATCAGCTGGATAAACCTAGTCCCAAGGGAACTAAGGACGATGATAACGACGAGAAAACTTTTGAAGATCCGTACATGGAACTCTTCATCTGGTCGGTTCTATGCAATAAAACTAGTTTTCATGATTTCTTCTGGGTTAGATGCTCCAGTCCTCTCCTAGCCGCAGTGGTAGCAGGTTATTAAAATTTATGTTTTTAATGAAGGAGAGCAGGGGGTTATTGTAGTTTCTCTCAAAAGAATAACCTGAAATATTCATTGTATAAAATCTAAGTTTTAAAAGTGTTCTGTGGTCAACCGTACAGAGGCGTCCTTAGAAAGGGGGGACATCCCCCCCCCCGGAATATTTGGGGACGCACCCCTCCCCCTGGAAAAACTAGAGAGAGTCGGCACCTTCTTACCATTATTTTTTGTTTTTAAGAAGGGATTTTTTTTAATCCAGGAAAGGGCAAATTTTTTACCAGGGTGGGACAAACAATGACCCCCTAGACAAAAATTGTGAGCCGCCCCTGAGTTTACATAAAAGTCAAATTTCATAAAACATGAAATGCTTGATTTATCATACTCTATTATACATTAAACCTAAACCTTTTGAATCATTTAATCTATCCAATTTTTGAATATCTTTTAATATTTAATTTTTCAAAATAATGTTTTCTCTTCTTCATTTTTGTTTATCTTCTACTTACAAATTATCCATGTTTATCCACTTCTCGTTCTATTTCTGAATCACTGTTACTATCCTTATAAAGTTTACAAATAATATCATTAGACATTTATATCCTTTAGAACTCGATTTACTTCCAATTTTCTTATATCTTGCCAAACATCTATAACTGATAAATAGTCAATGTTTATCTTAGCTTTAAAATAATGGTTTTTATATTCGTAATTTTTTAATCAAATGCACCACACCACATCTAAAATAACACTCAGAATACTTTAAATCTTTATGAGAAATAATCTCTTGAATTTGGATAATTGAAATCTTAAATTAACCTCATTGATTAAATGTAAAATTCTTTAGTTTCAAATCAGAAAAATTAAGATGAATCATTTTGAAAAATTTTGTTTGTGCAATATTAAAATTTGCTTGCAAAAAATACTAGGTTTTTTGAGTATTGTGTGCTTGTTTTGATGTTGAAGCTCAGAGATAGTCCAATATAATATGGGACGCTCTGTAGAATAAAGGTTAAATTAATCTGTAGATTAACTAAAGATCAAGATCTATGCAAAGATTGAGATCAAACATTGATTTCGATATCTACAAAAGAAGAACCTCTTTATAGGAATATTCGCAACACACTTTTCAAAAGAGTTCTTCCTTCTTTGTATTTTCAAAATATGTTCTTCCTTCTTTTTATTTACAAAATTGCCGGAGATATCAAACATTTTAAAAATTTTGTTGTTAATTCATAATGGGATCTGGACATATTTTTCAATATTTCCGTCCATTCAGAAGTTGCAAAAATGGTAAATCACATTCCCGAATCTAGTAGTTCAAGATGTTTATTCACGTAATAATGCCACGCAGAAAAGTTGACATAGTAGTCGTGTTTAATGTTTAATGGTACACCCTTTTATAGGCATTATGAATATCTTTGAGCTTTGTATATTTCAGCTTCAATCTACTCTACCCTGCTGAAACTCTACTCAGCCCAGCTCATCAAAATATCAAAAATAAAAGATATGAAAGCAAATTTTGTTGCCAAAGCAAACGCCATTGCTGAGATTGCCTTTGAAGAGGATCGTGTGAAAGGAGTTAGTCTGATCTACACCAGATATCCAAGGTTCGGAGAACGGAGTTTAATAAACCTCGCTTATATTGGTCACCTTAGAGGGTTTATAGCAAATCCAGTCTGTCAGGAATACGTGGCTCAAGCTTGGAGAAGGGGGATGAGCAAAATGAATCCATGGCTCTCAACGATTACAATGTTTTTCCCTTTGCTCATTTTCACTTCAAACTTTCAGTTTCTAAAGCTAGGAGATGATGGAGGAAATCTTTCTCCCTGGCAGAAACTATTTGTATTCTATAGAACACCAATGGTGAAATATATTGGGCACTGTGTTAGCTACGCAGTATTTCTTCTCCTTTATACATATGTCGCCATGTTTGATTTTGAATGGAGATATCAGAATACAGAACTTGTTCTCTACATGTGGTTTCTTATCCTTATCCTTGACGAATTCAGGGAGCTTATTATCCAACCTTCGAGTTCGTTTTCAAGAAAACTTCGAGATCATATGACGAGTGTTTGGAATAAATTTGATATATTTCTCTATGTTACTGCTTCGATGAGCTTACTCCTCAAGAATTTCGCCGCGTCCTTTTATATTTCAAGGATCTTGTTTGCAACCAACTCTGCCGCGTTATACCTCCGTCTATTCAGGGTTTACCACGCTAACTGGAGTCTGGGCCCTAAACTTGTCGTCTTCCACAAGATGCTGCCTGAGATTGTTATTTTCATGTTTCTCCTCTTTATATTTATCCTTGGATACGGGACAGCTAGTCAATCATTGATCAACTCCAATATTGAGTTTAGTACGGAGAGTATACCGAGGATACTGAACGGTATTATCTACCTACCCTACTGGCAGATGTACGGGGAGCTCAACCTGGATCAGATTGAGGTAGAGAACCGGACTATCTGCTACGAGGAGGAGTTCTGTGAGCACATGGAGTACTACAACCACGTGACCCCGGTATTCCTGGCAATCTACTTGATCGCTGCGAACGTTATGTTGCTGAACCTGCTGATTGCCATCTTCACCTCTGTGTTCGAGGAGGTGCAGGAGAACGCTAAGGACGTGTGGAAGTGGGAGATGTACAGGTTGGTGGAGGAGTATGATCAGAAACCAGGTTTAGCTCCTCCCCTGGTTATCCTGGAGGACCTCTGGAAGATGTTGAAGGGGATCTGGAAGGTGACCTGCAGGAGAACAAAGGAGGACCTGGAGGGATACATGCAGAACACCCTGGAGACCTTGGAGATGTTTGAGAAGGATTGTTTGTTCAAGCATATTAAAGATATTGGAGAACAGGAAGAATCTAAACTAGACACAAAGGTAGTATTAAACAAACAAATAAAATGTTTTAGATCCAACACAAAACTAGTTAAATTTCTTAAAATATTTGATGCATTTAATTAACATCCCGCATATTTACTTGTATATTTTACTTCATTAACTTATTTGAAATCGTTAGAAAAGCTTGGAAGTAACTTTTTTTGAAGTCGAATATACTCAATGCATCATTTGTCGGATGCTTTTTTTTATTAAGATGAAATCAAAAAAGAATATTAGATCCTGTTATTCTTTATTGGATTTAACAAAATGACTTGTTAAGTTAAGAGGTAAATCGAAATCACGAAAATACGGATTATGATTTTGACGAATTAAGCGGAAAATGAAAAGTTTCTACTGATGATTTTTTGTTCAGCTGCGGTATGTTGAGAGCAAGGTTGACCGGATGCTGGAGATTCTAGAGTTTACTCCAACCTCGTCTCAGTGGGATTTTGGGGACGAGGTTCAAACTGCAGATATCTTGGAGATTCAAGGTTCAGACAGGTTGGTTCAGGAGCAATTATGATCTGACTTTTAATGTGTGAAAAAACAGTTAAAAATGACAAGGATGAAACTAAATCAATCATTATGGTAATAAGTAAAGTAAGTACAAATTATGTACAGGAACTTTAAGCGTAATTTAAAATTACCCTCCATGCAAAGATGGAAATTTCTGATTCACAACGGTACCCTTAAAAACATTGTCTGATCAAGGATGAATTAGATATCAATGTTTGTAATTTTGAATACTTACTATTTTCAATTGAGGTTTCTCTACAAAATTACTTCCGGATTTCTACTGTAGGAAAATAGGAACTAATATTGTGAATCGGGCATTGCAATCTTTGCATAGAAAGTCACTTGAAATTACGCTTACAGTCCCTTTAAACACAAAAGCATTGTATCATTCAATTAAATTTGAGAACGAAAACAAAGCTTTCGAATATAAAAAATTAAATATAGGAACTGAACAATGTCAAAAGTTTCAAATCTGCCCTTACCTCAAAAATCTAATTTTCTTGCCCTTATATCTTTTCAACCTGATGTCGTAAACCGTTGATTTTTCAAACTATGTTCATTATACTTTAATTTTAATTAAACGAGAGTTAAACTTTTGATAATTCGAACTTTTACTTATTGATCTAATAGAAAACGAGGATTTTGTTTTACCTAGTTCTGAAGAGGAAGCTTTAAAGTATGATGGTTTTATTGGTGGACGGAAGAAAGAGAAGAAGAAGGTTTTAGCTCCAGGTCCTGCTGGAGCTGCTGGTGCTACTGCTGGGGGGAAGAGAAATGTTAAGTTTGGGACGGATTCAAGGAAAGAGTTTGAAAAGGATGAGCCAGTAACCCAGGTCAAGTACTTTAAATAACATAAGTATGTTTGTCCCAAGGTTGTATACTAGGGTTCGTTACTCTCTATGCCCTCCAATGTACGAAAAATGTTGTCTGCTAAGCATAGATAGATTATAGATTACAAAGGCGAGAGTGACGTCATATGAGGTTTTTATCTATCTATGCTTAGGAGACAACATTTTCCGTACATTGGAGCGCTCCGAGAGCAACCAACCTTATTTTACAACCTTGGTTTGTCCCGAGAGGTGTATGAAAATAAACTCTATCCGTTTTTGATTCTTTGCAAATTCAACAAACATATACTTTTAAATGTATAAAATAAAAAATATCTAAAAATCTAATGGGTTAAAACTGGTTAGAAAGACTCAGCGACATTTGAACTAGATGACAAAGATTAGATTTTTTCGTTTTCTGATCATTTTTAATATGATAATCATTACAGGGATTCATTATTTTCATAAGAATGCGACTAAACAGAAATATTTTATGGTTCAGATTTCCAGTTTCCATTCCAATAAAATAAAAAGTTTATAGAGTAAAAACCTGAAGATTGAGCCTAGTGCTCACCAACTCTCAACCCCTGATCCTACACCCAGAAACCCGGACTTGGATTCACGACTGGACAAAATTGAAAACCAGATCCAGTCCCTTCATAGGTACAAACTCTTCTAAATACAACTTTTCCAGACCAAATTATTTACAATTTTACGAGAACAAATTCAATTTGAATTTCTAGAAAGGAAACGAGTTTTTGCCACAAACTCCGATTTTCTAATCCCTATATCTTTACAGCGTGATATTGTAAATCTTGGATATTTCAAACTTAAATTATTTGATTCAACAGAATTGATAGTTTGAAATATCTAAGGTTTACGACATCATGGGTTGCACAGCTATAGGGATGAGAAAATCAGACTTTGTGGCAAAAACTCAATTCCATTGAAGCAAAATTACAAAATAAAAAAAATTCCCAAGAATTGTTTGTTTAAAGAGATAGCTCGGAGTCTCTTGAAAGAATGGAGAGACTAGAAAACCTTATAAGAGGTAAACTCTTCATTTATGAATGAAAAAAGAGTGATTAGGGTTTTTAAAGCCATTTCATGCATTTGAGTCCTGTCATGTGCAATTTTAAATTTGGAATCCTTCTCTCTTACATTTTTTTATCTATGTTGTGAAAATTAGAATTTTCATATATTTACTATTTATAGCGCTGGTGCAGAAGAAAGGGGGAAAATAAATGAACAAGATATATTTGATGAAACGGGTATTAACTGAAATGTATATTTCGACACGGATTAAGTTCGTTAAATATTTGACAAGTATGAAATAATATGTTTATGTACTGGTTTATACAGAACATGTATCAGAGAATGATATGCTTTATTTTGAATTTAAGAATTTTTTATCGTTTGTAAGATTTGAAGTTTATTGTTTGAAATACATATATTAACACTGTTATTTTTGTAATTTGTATTCCCCCTGTAATACGAAGAACCTTTAAAGGAACTGTAAGCGTAATCACAATGACCCTTCATTCAAATAGGGGAATGCCAGATTTGTAACGGTGCCCTTTATTTGAAACTTTGACTGACCATTGAGGACGGAGAGCTCTGTGTATTCATCTCTAAAATGGCGCTCACATTGCCGGGAAACTGAAGTATTCCCTAGCGTACAGGTTGAACTCAACCCTGTATTCATCTCTAAAATGGCGCTCACATTGCCGGGAAACTGAAGTATTCGCTAGCTTACTGGTTGAACTCAACTCTGTGTATTCATATCTAAAATGGCACTCACATTGCCGGAAAACTGAAGTATTCGCTAGCTTACTGGTTGAACTCAACTCTGTGTATTCATCTCTAAAATGGCACTCACATTGCCGGAAAACTGAAGTATTCGCTAGCGTATGCAGATTGAACTCAACACAGCTGAATACATATTTTCCACAAAAATGCCGAAAATTCTATGTCTAACGAGGTTTTCAAAAATCAGAATGTATTCATCTATTTTTTGTAACTTGTTAAAAATAAATATTAATATTTCTTAAATATGAACGGCTTGCAAATTACGCCGACAGTACCAATAAAAGCATAAATAATGTTTTATAGAAATATTCTACAACTTTTTTTTACATAAACATGATTTGTAAGATACACGCTAAACCCCCTGGATCTAAGTATGTACTTCTGTATCGAAAATACACGCTAAACCCCCTGGATCTAAGTATGTACTTCTGTATCGAAAATACACGCTAAACCCCCTGGATCTAAGTATGTACTTCTGTATCGGAAATACACGCTAAACCACCTGGATCTAAGTATGTACTTCTGTATCGAAAATAAAAATAGACGCTAAACCCCCTGGATCTAAGTATGTACTTCTGTATCGGAAATACACGGTAAACCCCCTGGATTTAAGTATGTACTTCTGTATCGGAAATACAGGGTAAACCCCCTGGATCTAATTATGTACTTCTGTATCGGAAATACACGCTAAACCACCTGGATTTAGGTATGCACTTCTGTATCGAAAATACACGCTAAACCCCCTGGATCTAAGTATGTACTTCTGTATCGGAAATACAGGGTAAACCACCTGGATCTAAGTATGTACTTCTGTATCGGAAATACAGAGTAAAACCCCTGGATTTAAGTATGTACTTCTGTATCGGAAATACAGAGTAAAACCCCTGGATTTAAGTATGTAATTCTGTATCGGAAATACAGGGTAAACCCCCTGGATCTAATTATGTACTTCTGTATCGGAAATACACGCTAAACCACCTGGATATAGGTATGTACTTCTGTGTCGGAAATACACGCTAAACCCCCTGGATCTAATTATGTACTTCTGTATCGGAAATACACGCTAAACCCCCTGAATCTAAGTATGTACTTCTGTATCGGAAATAAACGCTAAACCCCCTGGATCTGAGTATGTATAATATCAATCATAAATTTATTGTCTTCTGTCGTGAATATGATCTTTAAATGGCTTATTGAACGATTTGGCAAAGAAAGAAAGAAGTTTAAAGTTGAAGTGAATCATGGACAGCAGGAAAATTCTGAATAAATTTCGTACAGTCGTCTCTGGAGTCTTATCCATTATACATCACAGGAATATAGTATAGGACGGAATTATATTACATCACAGGAATATAGTATAGGACGGAATTATATTACATCACAGGAATATAGTATAGGACGGAATTATATTACATCACAGGAATATGGCCAGGGAAGGAATTTAATAAATTGGAGAGAGACCGCTGAACCACCGATCGTCGGTTCGAATCCTGAATTACCGATTCAAAGTTGAAGTTTCATGATGAGGATTTGTAGATTTAAGAAATTTATCCCACTCTGTAAACATACTAATTACTGGTCTGGGTGTCTGTTTGTTTGTATCCAATAAACGTAAAAACGGCTGAGCCGATCGGGCCCAAAATTTGTGAGCCAACTCATATGACCCCAGGGAAGGTTTATGGATGCACAGAATTTCAAGAAATGTCGCCGAAAAATTTTATTTTTGTAAAATATTGAAAATATGATATTTAAAATCCGCTACCTTTTTTGTTATTGTTTTATAATGTATACCAAAAAAATGTTCGAAGATAGAGCAACAATTACAAGTTGAAATGGAAGATGGGCGCGAAGCGCCCTGAATGCCTTTAGGTAACAACTAATTCATTAAATTTCTGTGTTTATATTTAGTGGCTCTAGAAAAACGTAAACGAATTACGTATACCGTTTCTCTGGTTTGCGGAGAGCAGAAGATGTGAAATGATAAATAGATCTACAATATTTCTTCGGTTTCTACCATCTCTCGGCCGGAACACATAAATTTTTTTTTACTTTTTCACTTTATCATCAGCCCCACAATCCAAACATTTCCAGAAATTATTTGATTAATCATCTGAAAAAATTTGAATTTATTATTTTTCTTGAAAAATCAATTTTTAAATATCCCGGAAATAGCGGAGTTCTTAGTAGTGCACGGAGTTAAACACTGATCAGACAATACCAAGGGGTGAACGATGAGATGAGAAAAAGTTTTATCTTTTTTAAAAGTACATTTTTCATTTTTTGAATTTCCGAGTTAAAAACTAAGTGCGTGATTTACTGGATAAACAAGATGAACTTAATATTTAGACTCGTTCAGTTTAGTGTTGTCTTGAACAATTATAGGATACATAAAACTCATTCAATATCCTTGATTAAAATAGAATCCAACCTTGTCAAGTTAGAGGAATCTCATTTTAATTCAAACCATAAAGTTGGTTTATTAATCTCCGGGTCTAATTCAAACAGTTCAGCTGTATTAAACCCCAGACCTAGAGAGAGAAAAACGGTTCTAGACTACGATAGGAGAGGACGGATTCATAGATATCTTGAAACATGCATTCCTCTCTTTAGGATCTTGAAACTCAAGAACAGAAATCCGAAATTTCTCCAAGATCTTGGTAAACCTTTTTTAAAACTATTTTATCTGCATATTTAACACGTTCTCACGGTTTTTTTTTATCAAGCACTCTATTTACTTTTCTATATTTCCGAATCATTCGTCATTCATAGTGTATCCTGCATTTACGTATCTTGTATTCCGAATTCTTTACAAGAAATCATGTATTCCATTTACATTCTATATTCTGTATTTTATTTTCTGTATTTTGTATTTTCTTTCTGCATTCTGCATTCTGGATCCTATATAATGTGTTTACATATCATATATCTTTTTTAGTAAGTTCTGTAATTCTGTAATTCCTCTGTTTTATATCTGTTTCAGTGTATATCCTGTATTTTATATCCTCTGTTTGTAATCTGTTTCAGTGTATATTCTGTATTCTATGTTCTCTGTTTTGTAATCTGTTTCAGTATATTTATTCTGTATTTTACATCCTCTGTTTTATAATCTGTTTCAGTGTATATTCTGTATTGTATATACTCTGTTTTATAATCTGTTTCAGTATATATTCTGCATTCTATATCCTCTGTTTTATAATCTGTTTCAGTGTAAATTCTGTATTTCATATCCTCTGTTTTATAATCTGTTTCAGTGTATATATTCTGTATTCTATATCCCCTGTTTTATAATCTGTTTCAGTGTATATCCTGTATCTTATATTCTCTGTTTTGTAATCTGTTTCAGTGTAAATTCTGTATTTTATATCCTCTTTTTTTAAAATCTGTTTCAGTGTATATATTTTGTATTCTATATCCTCTGTTTTATTATCTGTTTCCGTGTATATATTCTGTATTCTATATCTTCTGTTTTAAAATCTGTTTCCATGTATATATTCTGAATTCTATATCCTCTGTTTTAAAATCTGTTTCCATGTATATATTCTGTATTCTATATCCTCTGTTTTATAATCTGTTTCAGTGTATATATTCTGTATTCTATATCCTCTGTTTTATCATCTGTTTCCGTGTTTATATTCTGTATTCTATATCCTCTGTTTTATAATCTGTTTCCATGTATATATTCTGTATTCTATATCCTCTGTTTTATAATCTGTTTCCGTGTTTATATTCTGTATTCTATATCCTCTGTTTTATAATCTGTTTCAGTGTATATATTCTGCATTCTATATCCTCTGTTTTATAATCTGTTTCAGTGTATATATTCTGTATTCTATATCCTCTGTTTTATAATCTGCTTCCGTGTATATATTCTGTATCCTCTATATGAAATCTTCTATTAATTTAGTTCTATACAGTGGTAGGCGGTTATATCAATATAATGAAGACGACTTTCGATTTAATTAGGCTGTTAACCAGCATGGATACCCATAAACATTGCAGTCATGAGAAGCTGTCCATTAAAAACTTTGATTACTTGTAAAACTGTAAAAAAGCAGTTAAACAATAAAAATGGCGTCATCATTGTATTAATACAATCGCCTAACACTGTGTGGTAATCTTGAATTTTGCAACTATCCCATTTCCTATACTCTGTATCCTTTATTACGTATTCAATTCATATTTTATCCTGTCCCCTATATCCTGTATCCTGAATACTTTATCTTATTTGGAAAATGGTTAAAAAAGACATAAAGCCAACATTTTTTTTCTTCTTGAGTTATTAGCAAAGGATACATTATATACCACAAAAAACACTAACTTTAAGTCATATCATTCCATACTTAGCGGCTTAAAAAGCAAGATTAATAAACTAAAATTCTTACTAAAGGCCTAGTTTTGTACATTTTAGAAATGCATGGATGATAAATTATCCGTGTTATAATTATCTGGTTTACTAATTACAAATGTTAATTGTGGATTTTCTAAAAGAAATTCGTAAATATTCAAACTCAGAGTAAACTTTAAATTGAATTTTTCTGAATGACTTGCAAAAATAGACGAAGCAGGTTTCTAACTTTTTGTTTGCGTTTATTCTCTCACTAAACTTTTAAGGTGCTTCGCGCCACTTTTAATAATACAAGTTTTCGCCTGAGAAAGCAAGTCACACTGCTTTGCAGACGAGTTCGTTATCCAACAAGGACACTCTTTTGGTACAGACACACAACATGACTACAGTCAAGGAAGTTTCAGAACAATGTCGTCAATTATAATTAAGCTTGAATAACGAATAGTTTATTGTAAACTTATATTATACTAGCATTAGAGGGCGCTTCGCGCCCATCTTCTAAATTAATTGTGAACATCTTCTCTTTATGTACATCGTAAAACAAAACAAAAATAATTCGCGGATTTTCACAAAAAATTTCGTGGATTTTCAAAATTTTAAAAAATTTAATGAAGATCGAATTTTGATGGAGACAAATATTTAAAATTTTGATCATTCATAAACCTTCCCTGGTGTCCCTAGATGTCCCACAAAAAATTTGGGCCCGATCGGTTCAGCCGTTTTGACGTTTATTGGATACAAACAAACAGACAGACAAGCCAAATTTATATATAGATATAAAATTATATTCTTTGCATGAAAATTTGGATTATAGTGTTGACTTAAAAGTATACATAAAATTTTACATGTATATTAAACTTATTTTTAAGGAAACTGAGTCCAAAACTAAAGAATACGCGAATTTTAAGTTCGAGGTTAAAAGTTCTGTAAAATAATGAATAGCTAGTTAAATATTAAACTTTCTCAATTTTAAATTTGAATTTCCCGGGAAAAATCTGAACCAATCAGAGAAAAGGATTTACGGAGAATTATTACATAAGTATCGGTATGATCAGCTGTTTTCTTAAATTTTGAATTATTTACGTAACGGAAGAAAAAACATATTTCCAGTTACAACAGTATTTTGGGTTTACATGCAAACATTAATAAAACTATAACGTGAAATTTATTTAATCGGTTTTTACTTCTAAATATATCATAATTAGTTGGATGCCGCTAACCACTGAATGATGATAGACAAATAAGGATTGCGGGATTTCAAGATTTTAACCACACGGTTAAAGTTCAGGTTTAAATTAAGTCAGAAGTGGCATTTAACCATAAACTTAAAATTTAAGTCGAAACTTTTCGTTCTTTAGTTTTAGACTCAGGTATTACTTACTCACACTCTTTTGGTACAGACACACATACATGACGTGTCCGCCCCCTGACGAGACTTTGATAAAATTTTAATTTAGTCCTTTGAATGTCGTCATCCATACACTGTATTAGATATTAAAGGCTGTTTGCAGTTTATTTCGTTTAAGAAATCTTTTGCTGAAGTATATTTTACCTTGAAGTTACTTTTACTTTAATATGACTCCTATATAATATTTTTATTATTGTCTTTGGTATTAAGCAACTTACCAAATTTTGAAAAAAGACATTCTAAACTATTTACCAACTGTCATGTTTCATTGGACACCCTGTATGTCTCCTGCCTATTCTTTATCTTTAAAATTGCCCTAGTTTCAATTATTATAATTTTCTAAATTTCACATAATTTAGTAATTTTTAAGATTTGAAAATTGCACATTTTAAAAACTCAGCAATCGTCATGACTGACTTTTATTAAAGATGTATCTTTCATTAAGTATAAAATATCGAGAACGATTTCAATTCATTCTTTGCATATTTTAGTAGATCTAGACTATCTGGAGAATCTCAGGAAACATTCAACTCTCCGAATTCAATTCATCAAAAAGTTAATTTTTTGTTGTTGCGAATTTTTGTATATTTCTAGTCTCCAATTTATATTTTATCTAATTGTGTATATACTATGTTCTAACATTTATATTTATGAATATTGAAAAATTGTTCTTGCGATTTTCTGCCAAGACTTAAGAATAGAGAAAGCATACAGTAAAACTCTAAATAAGCCATACATCGAAAGAATTCATCAAATGTCGTATTCTTCACTTCTGATAATGGAATATTGCAGATATTTAGTTTAAAATTAAATGATTGTATGGAGCTCTTTAAAACTGTTCCCGCATATTCATTGCTATATTTATTAATTTTCGCAAATACTGAGATTTACGTAAAATAGTCTAAAACCCATTGAAAAATTGTCAATACGACATTTGATGAATTCTTTCGATGTATGACTCATTTAAGGTTCTGTAAGGAAAACAAAGTTATAGTTAGGACAAAAAATAAAGTGTTCATATGAAGTTGGTAATGAATGTCGTCTTCAGTGAAACAGATCTTGTGAAACTTCTGCAAACCCTTGAAACAACAGAGGTGAGTTTCATGAAATAGACATATTTATTATCTCTATTATTGGCTGAATTGTTGTAGGAAACTCATGAGTTCCCCGGGGTTGACAAAGGCTTAAACATAGATTTTTATTAGATACGAAATATTTGTTTTTCCAAATTGTTTTTAAAATTCCCTGGGCAACTCCGGACACTTCAGTTAGTATTTTATATATTACTCCGACTGAATTATTCCAATATTTATCTGATAGGACGGAGAGGAGTACTTGGAGTATGACGAGGATGAACTACAAACCCTGCTCAGTTTAGAGAACCTAGAGGAGCTTGATGATGGTAATCTGAACCAGGATCAAGATAAAGATCAGGATCAGAGCCAGGATCAAACACAGGACCAGAAACAAGAGATAGATGCTAAAATTCACGCTCATTCCCACTTCTATCTTCTCCTTCCTACGAACAACAGGGGAGTTCAAAAATAATTTGTCTTTTCACAGTTAATGCAGATTTTAAATATTCCATGATCTTTAATGAATTTAAAAACTTTTAGTTGTTTTCAGATTTCCAAAATTGCTTTTACAAATCTACTTAGACAATATTGGCATATCGGCATTATCTCTTCGTATTATGAAATAAAAATTATAGAATACATTTAGGAAAGCTATAGCAAAGCATTGCTATGTTAAAGGAATTGAGTCTTTGCCACAAACTCTGCTTTTCTAAACCCTATATCTTTGGATTTCAATGTCATAGAGACCTTAGATATTTCAAACTATGAATTCTGTTAGATCAAATAATATAATTTTGAAATATCAAAGATTTACGACATTGGGTTCTAAAGATATAGGGATTATAAATTCAGAGTTTGTGGCAAAGACTCAATTCCTTTAAAGACGATTCATTTTAGAAAAGTTTTAAATTAACTCAAATTTTAGTAAAATGATAAACGATGGTTCATAGGATCTAGTTTATAAAAGTGTGACTCATTTTAATTTTTTGTTGTTTAAAGAGCATAAATACATAGCCTTGTTTTACTTTTTTCCTGAAGACCGATGATTATTGCAACTCCCCCAACAACAACAACAACAACAACAACAACAACAACAACAAAAACAACTACTAAAACTTTAACTACAACTACCACTTCAACCTCAACAACACCAGAAACTTACTACACATCGACGTCAACTGGTAAGAATTTGATTATAACCGCAGCAAAACTTGAAAACATTTTTTTGTCTTAGTTATTTCCTCTGAAACAACAACAACATCAACAACAACAATATTGCCAGATACTCCAGCATATCCAACACCTGGGTTTACAACAACCGGTAGTAGCACAACATTTCAGACTTCAACTATACAATCAACAACAGTATCATCATCATTGACAACAACACAATCACCAACATTATCAACAACGTTATCAACAACGTTATCTACAACACAATTACCAACAATATCAACAACATTATCAACAACACAATCACCAACATTATCAACAACAGGAAACCCATCTCTGATGTTTTTATCTACAACGAGTTTAATGCCACCAATGATTCCTCAGTCTGGAACTTCATGGTAATATCTGATAACATTTATTGGTTTCAAACAAAAAAGACTTAAAGCACTGAAAGCATATTTTCAAATGACCCTCCGTCCAAAGCATGGCAATGTTCAATTTCAACGGTACCCTTGAAAACTATGCCTGATCAAGTTTAAATTAGATATTAATGTTTTTGTCTGTTTTTACATTTGCGGTTTCTTTGAGAAAGTGACTTGTGCATTTCTTGTTTATTAGAAGCAATGGAAAAATACTTTTCGAGTGAGGAAAACGACGGACTCTTCCACATTTTTGATCAGATTAGGGTTTCAAGGGTACCGCTACAAATCGGACATTGCCATCTGTTGAATGGACGCTCTCATGAAAGTACGCTTCCAATCCCTTTAAACGAACTTACAGTAGTAGCCCCCCTTTGGGAATAATTTGAATCTAAAGCATTCATTACATCACTGTGACCAGTCTAAACAGAATAGCAATCTTACGACAAATAATAAGCAATCTTATGCATACTTGATCTGATGTTTTTAAAAGCAAATAGTTTTACTAGTAGCTTGGAAATCAAATTAATAAGTGAAAAGGGGCAATGGGCACTGCACAATTAAATAATTTTAATAAAAAGATGATATCTTTTCTCTACTTTGTTGAGAAAGATTCACAGTAAACTATTTATAAATATTCTGCAGTGGAACATGTATATGTGATTGTTCTTTGAAAACAACAACAACGACTACAATTGGCTCTACAGTGACGATATCAACATCAGATTCGTCGACAACATCTGTAATATCATCTCCATCATCATCGACAATATTACCCTCGTCGTCAACATCAACGTCGACAAAAACAACAGCAACAACAGCATCAACAGCAACATCATCTTCTTCATCAACGAGTCAACCATCTTATACAATGATGTACGGTAGCAACATGTACGGAGCCACCAATATGTACGGGAGCATGTACGGAGTCCCAGGTTAGAATTTGGATTAGTTTTAAAGGGACTGTACAGTGTACAATGTACATTGACGTAATTTCAAGTGACCCTTCATCCATCTAGTGGAGTGTCTGCTAGAAACTTTTGTCACATAAAAAATAATGGAGATCTCCATTTTCTTCTATCTTGGTTATTTTCAATGATGTACTCTATAAAAGTGACTTACGAGGTTGCCAGAATTTAACCGTTTCCTGATATAAAAAGTACAATATCTTTTTCATAAAGGTAAAGGTCTAAGGGGTATCGTTGCGAATCGGGGATTCCTCTTGGACGGTCAATTAAAATCAAGTATACTGTCCCATAAATTTGGTAATTTTTTAAAAATAACTTTAATTGTTTTTTTTTTTATAAATAGATATTGTTTTTACGACCCTTCACCCTACCCTGGCTCCACTAGCCACCGTTCCACAGACAACTTTGCCACCCCTAAAGCATCCTTTAGTTACCACGTTGGAAGCTGCTTCCATAACTCTAGGAGCAGTTTCTACATCTCCTGAAGCAGCTTTACCAGCAGATGCTCCTACTCAAGGATCAACTACAGTAGGAGCTATTCAAACAACGACAACAGGTTTATCAATAAAACATAAATACGAATATTGAATTAATAAATAACAAATTAAAATGTCGAAACATAAAAAGAAAAAAACAATTCACCGTCTTGATGTTTAATAATTGCATCGTTTACGTGTTTCTAATTCATCTTTAAATGCATGAATAATGAATCCCTGATCAATGAATAAAAAAATGAATAAAACCCTGATAAACAAAAAATGAAGAATAAATCCCTGATAAATAAATGAACGAAAAATGCATCCCTGATAAATTAATAAATAAATGGATAATGAATCACTAATAAATAAGTAAAAAAATGAATATTTGATAACTGATAACTAATTAAATGATTAATAAATCCCTGATGAATGAATAATTGATTAATGAATCACTGTCACTGATGAATGAATAAATAAATAATAAATCCCTGATAAATGAATAAATAAATGAATATTAAGGTGTTGCTAGCTGTGGGGGGAGCTCGGGAGCTGCAACAGTTAACTTTGTAAATCCTGGATATCCAGGCTTCAACTCCAATGAAGGAGATTGCAGTTTTAATCTTAATATAATGCCAGGGGTTTGTCAGGTACACTTGAAACATCCATTTAAACGTGAGGATAAATTCTTATAAAGGTCAAAACTAAGCTTATTGAAAAAAAATTCTTTTCCAGGGGAGGCTACTATAAAGTGCGGTTAGGGGGGGGCGGTGGATGATTTTTTTAAGTTGCAAACTTCTTCTCTGATGAATAGGTTCGTGTAGATTTTGTTGATACTGAGTTATTGGATCCCACAGATGGTTTCTGTNGTGGGGGGGGGCTTTTATCCATCCTCCTTCAAGTACAGTTTTTTATTTAAACAAATATAGAGACCGAATTAAAAAAATGTAAGCCGTGGTTCAAATATCAGACCCGGTTCAAACATGTTTGGTTCCACTTGAAATTGTATTAATTGTTTTTCGATATTTGAGCCGGCGCTCAATTGGGACCGGTTTTTGGCGGATAAGCGACGCGGTTTAAATTTTTGAAATTTGGCCACAGGATCAACGTTTTTTTACTTTTCCTTAAGAAATCATACAATTAAATGCAAGTTATAATATTCTTTTCGCCTGCTAAAAATTGAAGTTTTTTTAGCGGAGATATTTGGCCTCTGGGAGTGGAATCATTTTGTGGCAAAAATGCCGGCCAACACTTTTATATTGAATTAAAACCTGGAGGATCTCTAGCTCAGCAGGTCAACTTTAATCTCAGGTAGGATCAGTAGTTTAGTAGGTCAACTTTCATCTCATGTAGGATTAGTAGCTCAGCTGGTTAATTTTCATCTTAGGTAGGATCTGTAGTTCAGTTGGTCAACTTTCATCTCAGGTATAGGATCAGTAGCTTAGCAGATCAACTTTCATCTCTGGCGGGATCAGTAGCTCAGCTGGTCAACTTTCCTATCAGGTAGGATCAGTAGTTCAGTAGGTCAACTTTCATCTCAGGTAGGATCAGTAGCTCAGCTGGTCAACTTTCATCTCAGGTAAGATCAGTAGTTCAGTAGGTCAACTTCCATCTCAAGTAGGATCAGTAGCTGAGCTGGTCAACTTTAATCTCAGTAGGATATGTAGTTCAGTAGGTCAACTTTCATCTCAGATAGGATCCGTAGAACTTCAATTTCATGTAGGATCAGTAGCTGAGCAGGTCAACATAAATCTCAGGTAGGATCAGTAGCTCAGTAGGTCAACTTTCATCTCAGGTAGGATCAGTAGTTCAGTAGGTCAACTTATATTTCAGGTAGGATCAGTATTCAGTAGCTAAGCTATCAACTTTCATCATGGGTAGGATCAGTAGCTTAGCAGGCAAACTTGCATCTCAGGTAGGTTTAGTAGCTTAGTAGGTCAACCTTTATCTCAGGTAGGTTTAGTAGCTTAGTAGGTCAACCTTTATCTCAGGTAGGTTTGTAGCTTAGTAGGTCAACCTTTATCTCAGGTAGGTTCAGTAACTTAGTAGGTCAACCTTTATCTCAGGCAGGTTCAGTAACTTAGTAGGTCAACCTTTATCTCAGGTAGGTTTGTAGCTTAGTAGGTCAACCTTTATCTCAGGTAGGTTCAGTAACTTAGTAGGTCAAACTTTATCTCAGGTAGGTTTGTAACTTAGTAGGTCAACCTTTATCTCAGGTAGGTTTGTAGCTTAGTAGGTCAACCTTTATCTCAGGTAGGTTCAGTAACTTAGTAGGTCAAACTTTATCTCAGGTAGGTTTGTAGCTTAGTAGGTCAACCTTTATCTCAGGTAGGATCAGTAGCTTTGCATCATCTCTAAACTACAATATTGTATTGTATTTAAGAACTGTTAGAGGAGGAAATTATAAGTTTGGACTCTGGATTACTCAGATCAAATGTGATGGATCCTCACAGCTCCAGGTAGACGGAGATCTTTTCAATTGAGAGAGATCATTTTTATTTCTCAAATGAAAATACACAATTAACATTTCTATAGATGTTTTTTGTTCACATGAGAGGCCGAAACTTTTGTGTGAAATAGCGGAAATATTCAGCTCTTGATCTTGATTGATTAGAAGAGATAAGTGCTTGATTCCTTAATTTTATGTATTTCTACTGGGCTCCAACCTTGGAATATCCAAGAGAAATTAATTTTATCATTCAGACGACAAAAGATACGGATAACAGCAAGACCCTGGGTTTCTTTACACATTTTTGACCTTAGATTATATAATTATCTTGGCCCTGTTCTGCACCTAATGGCAAACTTAATATATTTAATTTAATTGTAGTCTAATTTTAGTCAAAGCTTTGAATTTTAAATTGTCAATAATATTATTGTTGTTTTTTAAAGGTTGCTTCCAGTATTATATCTCTATTTTCTAGTATAGCAGTTTAAGATGTATATCCTAGGCTCCTCCTGGTTGCTTCCAGTACTATATCTCTATTCTCTAGTATAGCAGTTTAAGATGTTTATCCATAGAGAATAGAATATATAGAGAGGAATTAAAAGAATCTCTCGGTATGAATTTTTTCAGTCCCTTTCAGCCTGAAAGGGAGTTCAAAGTGTACAAATCATGTAAATGTTCACAAATTATNTATATCCTAGGCTCCTCCTGGTTGCTTCCAGTACTATATCTCTATTCTCTAGTATTACAGTTTAAGATGTATATCCTAGGCTCCTCCTGGTTGCTTCCAGTACTATATCTCTAGTATTGGGGTCATATCCTCATTCAACTATGGGGGACAGTACCTTAATAATCAGGTAAAGGAGGTCTTAAAAAAGAGTAAAATTTTTTTAATTATTATTATTGTTTTAAGCATAGTTTTTTTGTAATTTTCTGAATAATAATAAATTATTAGTACGAGTCATAATCATTTTTCTTTACTTGGCCCAGGTTCTAAATCGCGCTACGCGCGTTTAGTCGTATCTATCTATCTACAGCGCTCTTGCAGATAGAGAATAGAGATGAATACATTCGACTTTTTTCATTTCGTTCGTTCATCATTCGTGAACAACCCATTTTGTTCTTTCTTTAAATCGTTCAAAAAATTTGTATTCATTCATTCTCAAAATGATCGTTCATTTTCCATCTATTTCGTTCGTTTTCTCACTGAACAGTTGTTCAGTAAAATCTTTTGTACAGTAAAATCGTTCATTTAATAAAAAACTATCGTTTTTTCAAAAAATTGTTCAAATAAATGTTCGTTCCGCAAAAAAACTATCGTTTTTAGAAAGTTTGTTTTAAAACATCGTTCGTTTAGTAAACGAAACGGTCTTTCTCAAAATCTTTTTCAATTTCAATTGAACGATTTTAAATCAGTTTTTAGTTCGTTGAAAAAACAATCAATTTTTCATTTCTCTGAATGATCCATTTTGTTCGTCCATAGTTCGTTTTTTTCTGAACACCATCCTTTCCACGAAAAATTTCATTCGTTCTCAAAAATTTTGTTCGTTAAAAAATAAGCCCAATGTCCATCTCTATGCAGAGCGTAACCATTGTGTGACTAACTATGGTAGAACTAAGAAATTTGTCCAAATTCTTCGTTTCTGTCTTGACCTTATATTTATCACCATGTTAATTAATTCTTTAAAAAAAAGGAGAAAAAAATAGATTTAGTGTCTTTTGAAAGGACCTCACTAGTCTCCAGGAGTTTGTAATAACTCTTGTAATAATAGAGATAAATGGTGCTAACTTTGCACCTATATTCTTTTAATCCATAAGGGGCATAAAAAAATTTCAAATTTTTTTTTTCTTGATCAGGGGCGTAGAAAGGGGGGTATTTGGCCCAAAACAGGTATTTATATATATAAATATTTTTTGCCGATGTATCATTATTGTTTTCAAGATTTTAGGTCTGACAGAATATTAGACCATGACAAAATAGCCTAACAAGGACAGATTCAGCTTGCAGGAGGAGCCCTGTATGGTTCAGGGGCTAAAAAGCCAACAGTCAGGGGGGTCCTTTGATCCACATCAGACTCCTGAAAAATGAAGAGGAATCAGTGCCAATAATGCAAAATTAAATAAAAAAAGGCAAGTAAAATTCTAAAAATGTTTTGTAGTTATTTGAATTGA